CGGGCACCAAAAGACTTCCGTAGGTTTCTGTGCGCACATCTAACGCTTGTAAGCCTTTTACGCGCGCTTCTATCTTGTCGTAGGTCACTCGTAATTTTCGAACATCAGGTGTGTTTCCTAGAGGCGTACCTCGAAAGACAGTGTTCGCGTTCAACTCCTGTGTGATTATGAAATTCTAGCCACGTGTTATGTTAATATCAATCATTCAACAAATGATTGATATTAACATAACACGCTCTACTGTCCCTTTATTGTTCATTGTTCAGTAGGCTTAGTGGGCTAAGTCGGTTTTCTTGACCGATAGTATTCACCACTTAATCATTTTAACAGACTTAATATTTAAAATACTTATTTCAAGGCTTTGAAAAAGAAACAATAAAAACTACCAGACTTGTCTCCCAATCATTGTGGCAGCTTGGTGAATTGAAAGGTATTTTATACCGATATTTTCCAGACCACAACAGGATAATTTTTCCTTAGACAAAGAACAAAAGAGCACATAGCTATTTATAGCTACATGGATTAGTTCGCTCAACCCGCTTAAGTGTTGTTAGCTGGATTTCTTTTCGCAATCATTTCCTTTACTCGGTTTCAAAAAACGAAACACATGCAAACTGTGCATAACTTCCAATACTCAGAGGCAAAGAAGGAAAGAGAGTTTTGCTCGAGAAACTACAATGATCTCTGCTAGGATTCGAACCTGGACCTTTCGATTCCAGGTTCAACGCACCAAACACTTGTTATAGTACACAACGTGCCGGGTAAATATTAGCTGATTTTCCTTATATTAAAGAGTCGTAATTTTTTTACCAACTGTTTACAATTATTATTAATGAGGATCCGTCAGAAACCTATTCTCAGCACAAGCAAACTTCATTTTCCATAATGGGAGCGTAGCGCCATCCCCTCTCGCTTACGTGAAAGATTAGTCCACTTTAGATATCATGATACATGGTAGCTGTTGTCCTTTCCGTATAAGTGGTCGAACGCAAAACCTTATATTATTTTCTCTCTGTGTATTTTTCACGTAGTTACAATCCCCGAGAAGTCACAGGTATTAGATATCTCTGCCGCGCCAACATCTGTAATCATTTCAACATCATGAATTTAGCAGTCTTAAATCCATCCAAACGACTTGAATTTGACGCGTCAGGCAGTAGAACACTTAAAAAGATGCATTTATAGAATTTCATCCAAGCTGAGATACAACTAGAAAAATTCGAGATTCAGATTCGATTGATCAATGGCATATTAATTCTTATACCATTAAGCGCATCTTGACGGAAAATTAGAGTTTAAAACATTTCACGAGTAGTTGTTAGTGACTTGGGCATTTTCTGTAACTTTTGAAAACACGCGTGATATTAATCCTTTCTTTCACTTAGCATCATTCGATTACCTCTAAAAAGTGGGACTATAAATACTATGCAAGATATTCAATACATTTTGCCTTTATGCTTCTCTGACATAGATAATATATTTAAGCAGCTCGTCTGTAAATTGAAAAAAAAAATTCGTTCAACACAGTAATGGAAAATTTTCGGTAAATTAATATTTCTTATCGTCTTCATGTCCCATCGTCTTACGTTGGTACCCCCTCAACATCATTCAAGCTGCATGAGGTTTGATTTGACATTGAACCGCTACGATAATATTAGATTCCACAGCGAAATGGAAATTTTCTAAAATGATACTATTTAACATATCGGCCGGAAGAACATTCCAAAATTAGTTTCTATAGAACTTCATCCACGATAATCAACAAAAGCTAAGACCTTTCAGACTCGAGTGATCAGTGCTGTATTCTAAACGGCACATGGTGTCGGTAACTTAGGGATTTAAAAAATCTCGCATCTGTCATTAGCGTTTGTTGTTGTTACTGTTTTTTGTTGCGTGCGGAATGAGCATCACGACACTTTACCAGTATT